CTTAACGACTGAACAACAACTCCATGTAAGGGAGGAATCCCTAGTACATGCATCTTTATTATACTCATAATCTAAATAACAGTAATCTTCCTTTTTAAAGATAATGAAATTGTCAAAAGGGCAAGAAATGAATATTTTTTCCCTATGCAAGACTGACACAAACTCAGGCATCTGCAGGTCTCCTACTGTTACAGACTTTATAGAAGCTATGTTATCCTAGATACATGGTCATTTATATTAACAACCCCCAAGATCAAGGTCCAGAGAGGATATTGAATCGGAGATCAATAAGATTTCATGTTACAGTACAGATAATCCCTGGGTTAAGAACACCTGGTTTAAGGATGGCCCATAGTTAAGAATGGAGCCTACTGTACCAAAAATCAAGTTAAATACACAATGATTCGAGTTAAATACAAAATGGCTCAAGTTCATTACATAATACTACTTATAAAGTATTATACAATAATGCTGTTCTGGGTACATACAAATTCGACTTAAGGACAGACCATAGGAATGGAACTTGTTCTTAAACTGGGGACTATCTGTATCTCATCCTCTGTGTAAATAACATTGGGTTAACAATCATTTTTCAGATTCTGGCCAATAATACTGGAGAAGGCCAGAGATGTCACCAAAGCAACTCTTTATATGGGACAACTTAAATATAAGCACACAGTTTTATTACTGATTTATTCATTATATTTATAGAGTGCCAAATCCCTAAGGATTCTCAGCAGTTTACACATAAGAAATAACATAAAATAAACAAAAAGTCCATAATCTTTGGTCCATAAACTAATAAAAAACATGAACAAAGTTAAATTAACCAAACCAAACTATAACTAAAGGAAGATGAGGGACAAGTTTTTTCTAAGTAGATCGAACTGGCCAGCCCAATTCCTTTGAGAGAATGCAGTACAGCAGATAAGTAGGTGCCAGGCAGCATATAGCTCTATAGGTAAGTGCCAGCATTTTAAACTGCCCAGAAGTCCACTGGCAACTAGTGCAGGGCTGGTTGTGCTCCCGCCAGTGAACATCAACTAGCACACGGGCCACTGCCCTCTGAACCAACGGCAGCTTCCGACTGCTCTTCAACCCCAGCCCCATGTAGATTGTGTTGCAGCAATCTAAGTGGATGGCGCCAAGGGCATGAGTCCCAGTGGCAAGGTCCTCCTGCTCCTTTTTTTACCTCAACTATCAATTTATATACATCCAAGTATGTCTGGTGGTGTTATTTAGATCACATATTTGTCATCTGATCTGGGGATAGTTTGAGAACAAGTGCTTTTTTTCTGAATGTGTTAATTCTAAAGTCAAGGAATGCATTTCAAACTGAAGTATATTTTAAAATATATTTATGGCATGCATATGAATTTAACAGATACGAGGCTAAAATAGTTTTTGTAAAGAAAATTATGTATAAATGTATAATCTGGTTCCTATTTAAATGCTCTAATCCAAAAAGGGCTGGACCACACAAAGACTATTTGTCATAGTAATGACATTTTTGCTTCCTTTTTCTTTGCTAAACACTGATGCCACAGTCATCTTTGGACAGATAAAATACCTTAATTTCTTCAAAGAAATGGGCTGTTTCTCCTTCTATGATAGGTTGTAACATCTGGCTACGCCTTTTAGTTGATGGCGATCCCTGAAATATAATCAAAAGATGATAACGCTTTAAATTTCTATTTACCTAATTTTTCTGAAACATATGGAAATTCTACCTTCACTGTTTTTATTGCCAGGATAAAGTGAAAATAAAGAATATTGACTCAAACATGTGTTGTCTATACACTAATGCTCAAGAGTATGGGAAATAAAGTATAAGAGTTCAAAAGGAATTTGACTTCTTAATACAGGAAAGCAAATACAATTTAATAGATATAACAGAAATCTGGTCACTGGAATATATCAACTGAAGAATACAGTTTATTCAAAAGAACAGAAGCAACAGAAAGAAAGGATTTTAACTGTATGTTAAAATATCCACACAGCAAATGGAACTTGGCAATACCGTAGAGAGCCTCTATTTAGCTTAAAGTAATTGGAGAAATGAATAAAAGCAATACTGTAGTAAGTGCATAATATCTCCCACCCACTCAAAAAGATGCATGTAATGTTTTCCAAAAGCAATATGATAATCTTTTAAAGAGGCATGAAAGAGTAATAATGGAGGACTTTCATTATCATAACATCTATTAGGAGGCAATTTTCTGACTTGCTGACAACTTTATCCTTCAGAAGATGGAAGAAAGCAAAAGAGGAACAGCTCTCTCTCACTTAACCCTAGCCTTTTTTGTGGGATAGTGACATGTAATGCTAAAGTTCCTGATTGCAAGGTCAATTAAAATGAAGTGTAGTTGAACAAATATCTTAGACCTTTAAAAACTGGATTTTAGTAAGCTCAGAGCAATGATAAGTGAAATTCCATAGCAACAGAAAGTAATAAAATGGAGCTTGTGATAGGTGGGAGTTACTTAAAAACGATACTAAAAGCATAACTGCAAGCAATGCCAATGAGGAAAAGGCAATGTAAGTGCAAAAGACATTAAATAAAGATGAAACAAAGAGGAGTAGAACAGACAGATGATCAAAGAAGAAAACATAAAGGTAACATGGAACTACAGAGATTGTGTCATGAACCATAAAGCTCAGATTGAGGATGGCAAAGGTAAGGTTGGTAGTAACAACAACAAAAAAGGCTTCTCTAGTTACGTGCAAAGTAAAAAAGGATCAGCATGGTAGCTACTCAGTGGACGACAAAACGTGAACAGCTATTTAAGGCCTGTCTGGGATCAGTCTTCTCCAGCAAGAGCTATGTATTCCACTAGACAACTCAGAAACGCAGGATTTGGGATTTGAAACATGTTTGAGTTTAAATCTCTTGGGCCATATTCATTGCATCTGGGTGCTAAATGAACCAATTCTCTGGGAAAATCTTTATGAATTGTCTTTGAGAGATACTGGAGAATAGGTGACAGATCTTCGAATTTAGGGGAGTATGTGCCATAACGGCGAGAGATAGCACATTACCCCTTAATCTTCAAAGATATGCTGAGTATGGAAGTTAGAGTTGATGGCCTAAATGGCTACTTCATGGTACCTTACATGGTATTAATGTTCTAAGCATTCCAAATATATTGAAGTCATCATACCAGTTTACCAGAGAAAACATCTTCGCTTCCAAATATCAAATATCAAAGCCACTTGAAAGTATAATCAAACATTTGTTGATGAATGGAAGCAACAGTGAAATATGATCTTAACATTTACCAAATATGATCTAAGACAAATAAATTGAAGGTTGGAGTTAATTTAGAGATTAGTTATCCACAACCAATGACCAAGTAAAATTAAGAATCAAGATTTCAGAATTAGAAATATTATAGTCATTATGAAGTAGATTAGAACAAAAAAATCAGTGCAAAACAAGTTACTGGGGCAAGTCAACTCCAAACAGAAAATGTACAAAAAACAGATTCTATACTCACAAGAATGGGAGTAATACTTGCTCGGGTTAACATTTGTTTCACAAGCCGGTATCTGTCATAGAGGGGTTTAACTATATGTCTGTCTTCTCTGGAAACCTGAATGAAAAAAGAAATCGAACACAAAATGAAAAAAAAATGGACTTACCTTAATACTGAGTATTATAACAATGGCAAAACTAAATCATACAGAATAAAACAGGGTACAAACTGGGCTTGAAAGGAAAAACAGCAGGCGTAAAGTGGAAAATAAAAGCCACAGGGATAAGAAGGGCAAGGTGACTTATTTACTAAAAATGAAAAGCTAACTGCTCAATCCTTACCTATGAGTGGTCCTTGCAAGACAAAATCTGTCATGTGTAGTTGCATTATCAGAAAGTAGTCACCTATCAGGTGCCTATCTAATGCAGTAGTAAGCAACTGGCACTTCCAATGCCCATGCACTTCTTTTGCAGTACCAGTTTGTCTCCAGACTGTTCCATCAAAATTAGGTAGCAAAAATCCTTGTTTCCGGCAGCATGCATTCTTTGCTACAACAACATTCTCAAGTCCTGCCCCCCCTCACATGTTAGCTGATGACACTTTTAAAGAGAAAGGACATTTCTCAAGCATTTTAGGCAAAATCATTAATCTTAGTAAAAATAAGTGGAGAACTTTCATTCTTCCATAAAAAATATAAAAATAGTCAAAGCATATTGCTAATGAATGTTGCTTCTGCTGAAAAGAATGTATTTATTAATTCATACTTACCTCTAACTATTTCTCCAGGAAAGCAAGACAGTAAATCTCCCCTCATTTTTTCTATACATAATAATTATCAGAGCTGTTAACTGACCTCTATTACCAAGCAAGCTTTATTATAATTCTGAATTGCTTTATAAAGAAATGTACAGGAGCCTAAGTAATTCCATTATTAATTCCACCATTTTCTAGATAGAATGTAGAGATACTTTCAAAAAGAAATTATTTTAAAACTCAGTTTTAGAAAAAACCCATTACATGCAGTGTTATTTAGGTGTTGTATAGCTGATGCAGTCTGGGTGATGCAAATCAGGTATAGGTAGACTTCGCTTAATGATTACCCTGTTTAGCAACCATTTGAAGTTACAACGGTGCTGAAAAAGTAACTTTACGACCAGTCCTCCCATTTACGACTGTTACAGTGTCTCTGTGGTTATGTGATCAACATTCAGGCACTATGCAACTGGCAGGCATTTACAACCATTGCAGCGTCCTACAATCACGATTGCCATTTGTACTCTTCACAACCAGCTTCCTCCAAGCAGAATCAATGGAGAAGCCAGCAGTAATCGTGATGTCTCGCTTGACAACTGAATGGGAAGTGACACTGTAAGTCTGTCATGGTCATGTGCGTTTTTGCTTGGCAGTTTAATTATCAGAATTCTATTGCTAAGCTGTTTGAAGCATTCAATCCTATTTATTCTTTGGTCTCCAACACAGTAATTCCTTCGGTCTACAAGCTATTTGAAGAAACATTTGGGGCAAGTGTTCAGTGATTCTGCATGATGATGTCAACAGTATTTTAAATAATGTTAGAAAGGCGGGGGGGGGAAGTATGAAATATTACCGGACGTCCATGCTGACTTTCATAGTACAGGAGACTTTTTTGGAGTGATGTTTTTTCTTCTGCCAAATGGTCTTTTGTCATTTTCTATAATGAGAGAAATGAAAGTGTCTTATCCTATATCCATTTTTGTTTTTATACTTGCTTGTGGAGCTAAAATAATAAAAATGAAATGGCTGCACTGAATAAGAGATTACCACTGAAAATATTTATAACAGTTTTTCTTCCCATCTGAACTTCTTGAAGCAATGTAGAAAAGTTTCCCAACAGGAGGAAAAAAGACAATGCAAAACATTACAGTATTTAAAACAATCTGAAATATTAAAATCCATTTAGAGGCTTTAAAAACTCTCTCAAAACACTAACATTCTTGACATGAAAATGTCTACACATCATTAGGGATAATGCTAGGGATTCCAAACTCAGTATGCTAGTACAGAAAAGACCCTGATGCTATGTACCCATCAACCTAGCCTAAGTAAAAGTGACAAGAAAGCTCAAGGCTTTTCAGTTCTTCTGGCTCCACGCTTCTTCTGGCTTCAGAGTTCAAAACAATTTTAAGGTATCTTCAGGATAAATTGAAACCAGTGCAACTGGTTTATACTCTCTAGACTGCACAACCAATAATACAGCTACCTCATTTTGTCATAGCTGAACTTCCCCATTTTTTAAAGAGATCTACAAGCTGTATAAAATTGAGTGAGAATTTTCAAAGTAACATTAGATTAGTACAGCATATAAAGGTGATCTGATATACTTTAACACTTTAAAACCATTGTCAAAATTAAATCAATAATCAATAGATATATAAGGTTTATTAATATTTAGCACAAAAATAGCTGGCAAGCAATTTTATGGTGAAACATCCAGAGTAGTTGAGTCTGGGGACATTTCCACCAAGTTTGACAAAATGATCCAACCTGATTACTGCAGTTCCAGCAGTTTTTTTAAAATTTGAATGATCTATTATGGCAACCAAGACTGGGGTAATGTATCAATGAAAAAACATCTTGTACCAATTTTTCCATTGATGCACATCATTTGGCCTGTAAAGTCTGCATTCATTTAATCATATAATCTTTGGCTTGTTTATTTTTATATCATATTTCAGTAACTACTTATAAATAGGCCTCAGCAGGTGTTAAATTTTACATAACAAGCTTTTCCAAAGTTGGTCATCTACCCTGTTTTTGTAATTCCTTTGAACTATACCACTTATTTCGAGATAGTGTAACGAAGAGTATTTCTGATGATTCCAAGGAAAGAGTCTCAAAACAGTTAATATTGGCTTATAGGTTAAATCTTGCATTCTATACAAATTATTATCTCTCCACTGATCAAATTTTATGTACATTCGCTTTCATAAAAATAAGTATTCACTATTGAAGCAAGGGGCAATAAATCTGGACTTACTCTTCTATAATTATCCCATACTGGTAGGACATTATTTTTAATCAAGTAATCCCTGATAGTCTGGACACTTCTGTTTGTATCCGACCAAAGACACTTATGCAAGCCTTCTGGGAGTCCTGCTCTTTCAACAGAGGTAGCCTAGTTGTGGGATGATATAATCCAATCTGTAATCCAAGTCAAACAACTGGTTTGTTAATATAATCTAAGATTTGATAAGCCAAGTCATCTTATTTTGTCATGTCTTGCAAAATTCTAGGTTTATTCCTGTCTTTTGTTTGCCCAGATGTAATTAGTTATCTGTCTTTGTCACTCTTTCAACTCTGAAATAATTTGATACTTGATAAACTATTGTTTTATTGTTGATATTCTTCCTAACCAGAACAAATATAATTATTTTCCTCTTAAGAAAGCTGCTGCAAATGTTGCTTATCCACTTCAGATAATTTTCATATTCATAATTTTCATGTTCCATGACTTGTTCTTGTTATATCCTGATATTCTGATACTGAACCCATATTGTATATGTTCAATTGTTGATTCTAAAGAGTTCTTTAGATGAGTAACTGTGAGTACATCTCTAATTTTAGTTACATAATTTTAGTTTATGTTCTTGATTTGTCACTTTGATTCCTGAAATTTTATTCTCTTGCCATATCCAGGTTTTTTAAGATTAACTTTACATGAGAGCAGGTTATTCTGAAACAGAAAAAATTAGAGCATGGATCACTGTAGCCAAGTCAATTGTCATCAGCTGAAACTGGACAAAAGTTAGCAATGCAAAATCTCAGAAAATTTTGAAGTCATTTATTGGGGGAGTCTTTAACAAACAATGTTGAAAAAATTGGAAAAATATGAATACGTTTTATAGATATGAGTCACTTGGTGTGCTCAAAAATGTATGTTTGATTTATAAAATTGAAAAGTTTATTTTATTCAGGCAGTAATTATAAATCCATTGATTGAATTCTCTTTAGAATGTTTTTAATGTTTACCTGCATTTCATGTACCTTCTCTACAACAATTTCTCACTTTTGATCTGAAACTGTAAGGGGTTTTACACAAACTCTTCTTCACAATTTTTAAAAATCATTTAAAAATATCTAAACATTTTTCTTAACCATTTTATGCATCATTTTATTAAGAAAATATTAAGAAGTGTTTTATTATTTCATTATTCATTATTATTTCGTTGCCCAGAGTCCACTGGAGTTTGGTGGCCAATACATTTAAACAAATAAATAAATTTTATGAGTATTTTGTTTGTTTTTGTTTTCTTGATTTTGAATGGAGAGGAAAAAGAGCTGGATTTTCCCCAATTTGTTTGCACTTTCACATTTCTAACAAAGGCATTCCTGGTCATAACAGTTGATTGATGCTCTTGATGCAATGCTAGATATAGAACAGGTTGTGTAAAAACTGCATATTGGCTTGTCAGCTGACAATGCATCTTGTCTGGATTGACTTTCAGTTTATTTGTCATAGTTCTTTACTGGGCAGACAACAGTTAAGGATAATCTTTTTGCTGCTGCTACAAAGTTCTAAAATGTGGTACGTGCATGTGTGTATGTCTGATGTGTGGAACCGGATTTGCCCTAATTGCTTCTCCACCTTTACTCATATATCTAAGCCCTAAATGCCACTGTTTTTCAAGAAGTCATTATACAAATAAAAAATGTGCCTGATTATGCCACCTATCTATGTTACCTTTCCAAATCACAGACCAAAGGTTTCAGAGTAATCCAGACCATTCAAGAATCCTTTTCTACTCCTATCTTTAAGGACAGTCCAGTTTAATAATCTCCTATTCTTGCAGTGATTTTGAACAACTCTATCTAATTATATAATTAATCTTGCTAGCCCTAACCTTTGTTAGCTACACACAGATCATGGCTATGCCCTACCACATATGTAAGGTAAGACATTGAGAAAGATCTGCATATTGTCCCTAAAATGTCAAAGCATTCAGGGAATTGCTTCTGCATGAGGCTTCCTCCTCCAAATCACTATTAGGTTAATATTTGTCTCCAACATTAAAGAAAACAAACTCCCTTTCTTGTGCAGAGCCCTATACGTGGAACAGAGATTATGCATACCTTTACCTATCAAATTAATATGTCATGGGTCAGTACTATAAGTCACTTACTGAATGATGTATTAGGAAATTCAAAAAGATAATGAACTTGACAACTGCATTTGCATTTTCTTTTCTGGTGCAGCAGCATGGACAATGCTTACCTTTACATCTTCTGGCAAGCATCTTTCAATTCGTTTTTCTTTCAGTTTTTTTAAAATTAGTTCAACAGTGACTTCTTTTGTAGGCTTCTTCTCTTTCTGAGCAACCCGCAGATCATCTTCATTGTCTTCATCTTCATGGTCCAGAGATGAACCAAAGCTTTTTGGAAGAGTGTTACTTCGTGGACGTGCTTGAGGTATCAATTCATCTGAGCTTTTGTGCTTTGCATCTATATTGAAGGGAAAAAAAATGAAACCCAAGCTCACTTTGTAACTGTTACTTCTAAACTGCCTAATAAAAATAGGGATTTTTATTCAGATATAACATTGTTTTAGAAAGTAGAATGAAATAATAATGAACTGTTTACCTAATGAAAACTATCATTAGTTAAGCTGCAGATGTGTTTTAAAAGATTTGTGTGAATAACTTACCTTTTATTTGCTTTTTTAATTTGGTAAGCTCTGTCATCCATTTTAAAACCTTTGGATTTGCTGCAATATCAGAATATGAAGGCTGCAAGGAGATGGGTAAAATATTAGTATATTCTAAGAATATACAGCACTCAGATAGAAGTTCTATAAGGTAGGTTGGTATATTAGGGAAAACAAAATCTCCAAGTTCCTCATTCAGCAATAGAGACAAAAACTGCCTCTTTACTTTTCATTTAGTTTTTCTAGCCAACACCTCAGGAAGAAGGAATTTCCATAGTTTTCAACACTCTAAAATGATTTTCTGAAATGTATAAGAGTAATTATGCACATATTTGTAGAAGATATTATAACACCTGCTCTTTGCCTACTATTTGTTATTTTTTAGTTTTGTGCCTTTTATAATGTTAAAGAAAATAATAATAATAATAATAATAATAATAATAATAATAATAATAATAATTTGTATATATTATTTTTAGCTTTGTTGTATGCTGCCCAGAGTCACTTGTATGTGAGATGGGTGGCCATATAAATATGACAAATAATAATAATTATTAACTGTTAAAAAGCAAAGCTTACAGTATAAGTTCTTTAGAAAGATCAGGATGTATTGCAGAAAGGTGGTAAGCAGGAATGGATACATAGCTACACCCTGAGTGAGAGTTTTAAGGAGAAGAAAACAAGAATGAAACAGTGAAAAGTAGTGAAGAGCTTATGCCCTACTAATTTGTACAACCCACCCAGTGAGCTTGAGCCCATCACTCTATTAGGCTAACATGTCTCACAGGGTAGTTTTTAGGATATTAGGGAATAATTAATGCGTGCTACTCCTTGGAAAGAGAAGACACGTAAACAGAATTTTAAAATCTTTCCCCATATCTACAGCTACCAGCCAAATCCTCAAGTATAGCTTCCTTTCTTTCTTCTGATTTATTTAGCAGAAACTGAAAGATTCTAGAGCTCTTAATAACAGGTAAGTATGTTTTCTGTGTATATTATTTTACAGTATAAGATAATTTGCAGACACTTGTTATCTGAAAAGCAATTGTATCTGAATTTATCATCACCATCACCATCATCATCATCCCAAATCAGTCAACTGCCAAATGAAAGCCTCTTCATTGAAGGTTATGGTAATCTACAATGCTGGTCCACTGCTGGTTGGTAGACAGATGGTTTTGAATTTTCCAATCTAAGTATGAGAGGGAATGACTGTCCCAAAGTCATCTAGCCAGCTTCTGCGCCTAAGGGAGGACTAGAAACTGGGTCACCCACTCCTAGTTCAGCAGGCTCATTTTTATAAAGTAAAAGCAAATACATACTATCGTAAACAGCAGTGTAAAATAATCTAAAAAATTACCTTGAAGTTTTTGTCTTTCTCAAATTGCTCTTCAAACTGTCTTATTTTTTTCTGCAACTTTTTGACCACCTGATATGGAGTCTTTTCCTCCCTTCTATCATCCTTAGAACTACTAAATGCCGCTCTTCGAGTTCTGAATTTAAAAGAAGAGGTGGTATTGTAGGTACTATATATGCATATATACACACACATACACACATATACAAATATTCAGAAATAAAAAAGAGCAAACAGGTGTACATTTATGTTTCCATCACAAAATCCATGGAACAAAGAGAACAAAATTAATTTTTGCTTATACAATATTGTTATCAATATTTACTATAAATTACTGTTTTGCTGAAAAGAGAACATGGCAAGTAAAAAAGCTCTTAATCAAGTGCCTGAGACACTGACTAGGGTAACCCCTTTCTGTGGCTCAAGACTTTTTCCAAAAGTCATAAACCATGACATCTAAGACCAATTAAATTACTGCAGGACCACATCTATGAAGAAAAATATAACTTTTCCACACAACTTGCTAAAAAGCAATCTAATGCATAGAAATATAGACAAAAATGTACATTTTGTCTCAATTCTTATTTCAGTTCATTAACAGAAAAGCAGACAGAATGCAGAAATAAATGGACTGAAATGTTTTAGCATTCTACCAGTGTTAGGATCTTATAATCACTGATCAATGGGCATATTGGCTGGGATTTATGAGCAGTCCAAAACAGGTCACATATTCCCAGAAAATTTAAAGCTCATTTTTCTTGTCAATATATATCACCCCTTATTTATTTAACTTACTTCAACTGAAGGTTATCAATTTAGTTACCAATGTAGCACTTCTTAAGATTTTAGTACAATATATAATATGTTTTTCTGTTCATTTTAGTTTGAAAGCATTAAAGCATTAGAAATCTACTCATTCTTTGAAAAGAACATTTACGGCACCCCTTCACCGCTTTCCCATGGCTTTTCTTCCCTGTCAAAGGATAGTGATTTTAAACAGACAGCTTCCCCATTTTAAAGAGCATTTAGGAAGTCCACTTTAGAGCCAGTCCTTACTAAATCTATAATTTGGAGTATAAAGATTTTATGACAGTGTTCCTGTGCTATTTTTGTTTCTTTTATCATTCAATCAATAAAAATCATATTTAATTCTAAAATCAGCAAAGCTTGAGTTTTCTATACATTGTACATTTAGAATCAACAATCTAAAATAATTCTACAAGTCATGTTGACAATAGGTAATATTCACCACTATATCTGTGTTTAAGAGTTAGGAGTAAGCAGTCAAGGAGTCATATTTACTGGATGACAGTTAATGAAGATGCTGTCTAAATTGATGAAATATGTATTAAAATAATAAATGATATTCAGCATGAAAATAAAGAGTTGCTCATTGGATAAAACATCCTAATTTCACATTTGTACTGAATGAATCTAAGCTGGCAGTGGCTTTTTAGGAAAGAGATTCTGGAGTCACCCCTAGTAGCACGATAAAAATGTTAACCCAGTATGAAACCAAGAGACAGGTAAACTTCATATTGGAAATATATGAAAAATAACTGAAAATTAAATCCACAATATTATATTACTTTCATCAATCAAATACCTATCCTCTGAACTTGGAGTCAACTTTTCTCTAGAATACCAGCTTCATACAATGAACTCTAATTACTTTCACCTGCACTAACTATATTCTCTTGTGTACATATTTACACAGCATGAAAATATGCAGATATATTATGCATGTCCTAAGCATTCAACATTAATTTTTACAAGATCAGATACCAATTTTGGACCTTAGCTTGCACTTTTACAGAAATAATAAAGGAGGAAGACCACAGAATATTTCATCTTGCATTACCACATCTCACATAGTTATGATAAATATAATATTAGCTTTTTTTCTGTTGTTCCAGAAACAGAATTTCATGCCCATTACTACAGCTATGTCTACAGTGGAAGTGACAGTGTTCAATATCCTATTCCTAGGTAAACTAATGATCCCTTTCATATAACTGAATTTAAGGTTTTTTAACCAAAGATAGACTGGCAATTGTGCACCTCTACTGAATCACAGAGCTGGCAGTAGGTATATAAGCCATTAAGTCTGACCAAATGCTTTCTATAAAAATCCATACTAAAATATCTATCAGCAGTGGCTATCTAGACTCCACTCAGATACAATAAATGAAGGGAAACCCACTACCTCATCATAGAATTGGTTCCACTGTCATGCTATCATTACTGTTAAAAATGTTTCTTAAACATTTCTGCAACCTGACCTCTGGAATCATGGATAAACAGATCTTGGCCTTTTCTGTGTGACATCCCTTCAAGTATGAAAACTACAACTGCATCTTCCTTTAATATTCTCAGAGCTAAATATTCACAATTATTTCAATCTCTCTTCATATAACATTAGTTCTAGTTTCCTAATCATGCTAATGATCCTTCCCTGAATCTGTTCCAGTTTGTCTGAATAATGTTTAAAGTGTGGTGCTGCAAACTGAACACATTACACAAGATAGACTCTGACCAACAGAAAATAAAGTAGAATATTACTTTCGGTAATTTGAACATTTTAGCCTAAAACTGTATTACAATCACATCTTTCTACCAACTCATTTCCTGTTTTAATCAACTACTACTCCAATATCATTATATGCTTGAAGGAGATAAAGCAATCACCTTCCTGCTCAGTATTTTCAGTTTGCCTCCCAAAAGAATTCTCAAGAGGAAGGTGTACTGTTTAATACATTATTACTTAAATATGTGTCATATAACTGCACAGATACCCAAAAAAGAACACACCAGATATAAATAAGAAATATGTTTTTCTTTTCTTTGATTTCGGTACAGAGAAATGAACAATTACTCAGCCAAAATCTCCAGGTGACAATGCTGATTACCTCAAGTGAAGGCTGTTGCAAATGGTTTTACCAAAGGCCATATCCAATCCCTCTCTGACAACTAAGGCACAAAGCATAATTTAACAGTTGCATGATAAGCAAATATGCCAGAATTTAGAGACAGGAGGCCTCCGTAAAAAATGAGGAGAAATACTGAAATAGTTTGAAAAGAACCAGCACTTCCTAAAACTTCTACATTAAAAATTTGGACAACTTTTTTGCAGCTAGGAAATATGTTTCAAAGTATTAAGTAACTGTAAATTCATGGCAGTTCTATACTGTCCCTACTCTTTGTTATGCAGATGACTTGTGAAAAGAAGGTAATACATGCTTGAAGGAGTTTGAAATTTTGACTGAACAAACTTTCTACATAAACTTTGTTCCTTCATTTAAGTAAAACATAAAACAGCTTTACTAATACTTTAACATATGTATTTTTAAAAACATCATAGGCAAAAATGTGCTCTTTTATCAAAGTAATGAAATGAAAACAATACATAGCCAGAACTGAATTAAAAAGACGTCTCCGTTAAAATACCACAACTTTTTGTCCTTCTCAGGAAAAGAAAGTGTGCCATGGAATCGCCTTTCCTTAAATCTGCACTGCTATAATTTACTGTTTCTTTTTTTTAACTCAATTATCATCAGTTTTATTATAATATAAGAATAAACAGGAATACAGGAGTATTAAAATTACATCAGATTTGGAATTTCCTTAAGATATGTGCATAAAAGCACCAACAGGTTGAGTTTTTACTCCACACACAACTTGCAACTGAAAAAAGATAAATCTATTCCAAACTTCAGCTAATAATAAAAACTATTCTCCTGAAAAGGTATACTCTCTTCAAACAAACCATTTTTTTTCTTTCATTTTACAAACTTTACATACATTTTTATTTTACTCAGAAGCTTTCCAGAAAGACAAGATAGAACTTTATAGAAGACAATTACATGATCCTGACACTCGTGATTTTGGAGTTAAAGATGAATGAAAAATTCTACATCCTAACACAAGACAGGAACAATTTCTCTCATGTATCTGTGAATGACAATTACTTACCTAACAAAAGAAAGCGCTTTAGATGAAGAATCTATTTTTTCTGGATCATGCAGGAAACGCTGACTTTGCCCAAAATCCAAACTCCGGTGTGCCAATATGGGATGGCTATCTTCTTCTAGAGGATGATTCATTCTTCCAGCTTGTGGAGAAAGCTGAGCTTCTCCAGATTCACTATCTTCCTGCCAAGATTTAAAAGCAGGAAATGGCTCTAGAAGGAAATAAAAAACAAATGGCACTGGGATATTAGAAGACTGCAAGAAAACACAGCTGTAAATTCACCATGTGAATAAAATGAATATGAAATGCACTGGAAAGCTACATGTCAAAGCAAACAAAAAGAAAATAGCCCAATACACTTAAACATATACAACAACCTTCCAATAAGTGTATGCAACTTAACATATGTTATTAATCACCATGCATTAATATATAAAACTATATTGTATTGTACACTAGATATGTATCATGTGCATTTTAATTATGTGCTTTAGACCATATGAACAGGTACTTTTTGTGCAAAACAGAAAGCACACTGAAATCCTTCAAGTGCAACATGGTGCATCAATCCATTTACATAAAGATTTTAGATAATAATGTGCAAGCCCCAACGTTACACTACAATACAAGACTTGACTTCCTCCATGTATTGATATTAAAGAATAATCATTCTATTGAAGGAGCATTAATTCTTTTTGAAGAAAGTAAATGAATAATATTTAACATTGTACATTAAAGATACAAGTAATGTGTTAAAATGTATGTTTGTGAAATAATTTGTGGCTGTTCTAAGGAATCTGAAAGATTAGAATAATTCAAGAAAGGAAAACCTTGTTGATGTCCCTTGAAAAAAGTATGCATGTGTTGTGTGTGTGCACACACACACACAGGTGCTCAATCTGTCTCTATTTACAATCAGAGAAACAGGATGATATAAATACTGTATTTTATTTTCCAGTGCAAATCTTATATTTATAAGATAGTCTTAAACAATACAGTGACAACACAATAAAATGTTGATTGACCCACTTATACCTGCTTCCCACCAAACACCAAAATATATTTTAAAGAATCCCTTGTTTAAAATAAAAGTTATTGGATTACAAAAAGGCAAACCAGACATGACGTCATGGTGTGAACTTATAAAGCTGCTTTATACAGACACACTTCACTGGTCCAACTAGCAGAGTACTGTCTTCTCTGGCTGGCAGCGGCTTTCCCAGGTTATCAGGCAGTCTTTCCTTGTTCTACTGGCTAAAATCATTTAACTGAATGTGCCAGCATGTCAACCTGGGAACTTTTATATGCATAGCATTGCACCAATCATAAGCCATGACCCTTCAGAAGGCAGCAGGTAAAAGGGGTAATTTGAAAGCAACTATAAACCATGAAAGAGGCAGTAACTGAATGTATGGCGAACCATACTTACCCTCCCCTTCTCTCTGTAGATGCATTGTTTTGAAATCAATGAGGGGAAAAGTGATAGGGCATGGCGCTAATAAATGAAAAAAAATGGCAAAAAATACTGAAGTGAACACATCGCACAGTTAGAACAAACTATAAATAACACGTAGGAAGTACAGCACCACAAAGAAAGCCTTCCAATTGACTCTGGGCCAGGTCTGAGCACTCAATTCTCAACTGAACGGAGCAGTTAACAAGTGCCCAACACCATTCAAGATTAAGCCCTTTATTAATTAAAAGCCTTTCCAAAAGTGTTGGATCAGAGGTGACAAACAAAAAGCCACATGCTTTTCCATGTTTAACAAAACACATTTCAAACAAAAATAAATTTACACACAGGACAGATTTTGCTCACATGTGTTTAAAAATAACAATCCAAAATGCAGAGAAAATTCATAGTTCTTATTATTTATGTGTCCAACATATGCATTTGGCTGAATTAACAAGATATACATTTAAAAAATGAAGCAAATTTCTGATAATGCAACAGAACAAGTCTGCAAATCACTAAACTAGACCTGAATCTCATGTGATTAACAGGAAATCCAATTAGTTTAACAATAAAGTTTAATATACAAGAATTCAAATTGACTGAAAAAGAGAACAGAGAATGAGCAAACTTAGTTCAGGATCCAAAGCGCTTTGCACAATCTTCTAAGAGTACAAAGGGACTTTCAGCTTCGCCCAATAGTAGCCCCTAATCCTCCCCTTGAAGTAATCCCTAAGGTCTGAGGATATTCTTGAGCTGCATTCAATTAATCACCAGAAGGGAAACATTTGGAACTTTTAATGCATTGCATTTCTTTGGATCCTGTTCCCAGAGTATATCAGCAAGTGAAGCAAGAAGCTACTGTCTAAATGAAGAGCCATTTTAAGTAGCTATATGATCAAAATATACACGCTTTATCCTTAGATTCAGAGGAAAGTTAGAACAAACATTACCATTCATTTGGAAATTAATTCCAAATAAAGGTTAATATCACAACTGGTTGGTTCAGTTTGCAAGATAAGCAGAAACCATAATTTTGCAATTTGGATGTTGCTATAAGGGTAGACTATCGTTATCTAGGAATACTCCTATACTTTTAGCATATGAAGCAACAAGAGAAAGCAAGAATCACTGGTACCTTCCAGGCTCATTCTCATGAGAAATTATACTTTAACCGCTTAGCATGATGCAGAAGCATATACCAATTATTAACAGAATATACTTGTTCAAACAGAAATAACTAAAATATAAGTAGCAAACATTTCATTCTTCAAACATAATGGAAAACAATGTTTTACACGTTCCTAATGTACACCTACTCCTGTTAGGAATCACTTCGTTTTTGTTATTATACAACAGAAAAATAACTTGAATGTCTCACCCAATGGCGTGGGGAGAATTTCATTTTCTTCTCATTTTGAGAAAACCTGTCCAACTGGCATCACCTAGACATCCCTGAGATTGATCCACAGTTATAAAAACCTTTGTATTGTTTGATTACCTACAGATTGCATGGGGTCTAGAGGCTACCTTCTTCAAGCTATCTGAACAGGTAGAAAAATAATGGTGCCTCCTTATGAAAGAGCTTCTGGAAACAGCCATATATCCTTACATGCTGTTTCTTGTTTGTTAATTGTATGGAAAAAATATGGTTGCCCACATATAGCAGCACTACCAGGAACATCATACAAGAGAAAAAAAGAATTGTAAAAGGAAGAAGATAATGCTGAAGTTGAATGTACTGAACCATTTGTAAAGTTTTAATATTAATTTTAGTTAGTGCAGATTCTGTAGAAATTTTCTTCAAAATGTTTTCATGGAAGTGAGATTGCACTTCATGTCAATACATCAGAAAAAAAAAAAAAGACCCAACCCCATTCCTAAATACTAAACAGAACATCAACATTAGTTTTACATTGTAAATTATGACTACGTTTAGCCCATCAAAGATGGATATGAATGTTGATGTTCTAAAATAGAGTATTTTCTTTTGAAATCTGCATATTACAACAACTGTATATATCTATATAAATAGTCATAGTTATTGCTGGCACATGATAGCCATGATAAATATGGCGGTTGCTAAGCCATTATTTGCTACATGGATAATATGGTTTTTTCCTCAAGGAAACTGAGGCAGGGAACATAGTAGCATTATTACCACTTGGATCCTTTAACAACAAAATGGGCAAGGGAGTCCATGTCTCCCTTGATGCAATAAAAAAAGCAAGAAAGAAGTATGACAGAGAAGCTCTAGCTAAGCTCTCTCATACATTCTTTTACAGTGGAATATGGGGTTGGTCCTGTATCATCAAAGACAACACATCTTAGCTGTAGGGATAGGTAAGGGGTAAAACACCCTTTGCACAATTGTTGTAATGGTCCCCAGCAATCTCTGCAACTTATAAATTGAGAAACAGGTATACCAGGTGGTACACAAATTTTGAAAACCACCTATTTTGTAGAAGAATATTAACAGGAACTGACCACTTTCACAGACTTTAAGCAGATTTTTTTTTTAATTGTTAGAATTACTGGCAACTTCAACTAACATTTGGAAGTTTCAACTTCCCAAAACATAACTTTTTGTTCTACTCATTCATTTTAAATAGATTTCTACTAGTCTATATAGATTTGAAATAAAATATTATTAAATATAAACAAATATACACTTCTGTTGATCATACACTTGAATTCTTAAAATTAACAAATCCTTGCAAAATATCAATAAACTCAAGAATTACCTTCCCATTTGTCACCACCATTCACATTCTTCAAATCAAGATGTGGTAGAGGGGCACACAGTGTTGCTTCAGGAGCATTATTATTTCTGTTTTTCAGTTCTTCTGATTCATTTTTCACATTTTGATCAGAAATGTTGCTAACACAATCCTGTAAATAAACAATAACGCTATTATAGGATCAATAACTTTCAGCATACAATGTACATTTTTGTTTTGTGGACTTTCAATAGTTTTCTGCCTGAAAAAAAGGATATGAAATATAAGCAAACAATAAGTAAACTAAAAGTTTACAGATATATGGAACAGGAAGTCCACACATACTATCAATACTACCTATGCATAAAATTAAATTAATATTCATGCAGTTAAAAGATGGAAATATATTCACAAATATATACATTTTAAACTGTGCCTAGGTTTACAAGGAAAAGAAAAAAATCAAGGTCTCACCAGAATCACGTGTGACGTCATTTTTCTACCACCATCAAATGATGTACAGTCTTGCCTATAAAGGAAGTTAGGGCTTGGGAAGATTATTTCAAAACACCTATGATGACAATTCTTTTACAGCTTTCTTATGGACTCAACTCAGACATATCATATTAAAACAAAGTAAGCTTAGCTTTCATCTGATAAACCAGAACAAAGAACTTTTTCCTTAACACTTTTCACCTACCCCCATAGTCTAGGGATAGTAACCAATAAAAGCAGTTTAATAGGAATAGCAAAAAAAAAAACAAAAAAACAAGACTGTATGTTTTCATAGAAGTTATTCACAAATGAAATTACTGGCTCATGAGGCAATGATTATATACTGACAGTTCACTAGCTAACTTGCTAGTTTCTTCAGAATAGATCTGAAACTTGGTAACAAATATTACGCCCTGAAGGCATTTCAAATCCGCTTCAAAGAAGTTAGTATCATCGCTAGCAAAACATCTGTGTATATTCATTGCATCAGACAGCATTACCTGGAAGCCATTTCATCAAAGCTGTAATTATGATTTATCAATTTAGCTGTTATGTCAAAGAGTACTGTACAAAAGAAATGGTTTGCAAAGCACTTAAAATAATGTTTTCTAATTATGATTTAATACTAATAACAAATCACAGTTCCTCAATTCAAAAAATCATGGCAAACATTGTTAAACTTGTTTCATCGTGATTTATAAAACTGAACCTGAATTTATTGCAAAAAACTAGTTTACTTGGCTTGAGAAACTTTAAAGAATCTGGTTTACTTGGGTTTCTGGAATTTTAATCAATGGTAAGCAAGATTTATAAAAAAAAATAATATAAAAATTAGTTTACATAAAAGAAAACAGACTGGCTGAGTTGCAGGAAGATATAATTTTTTTATATGAAATTATTGTCTTACTTGACTTTGGGCTTTTTCCTACCCAACAAAAGCTTAGATACATTAAATTAACCTTCCTGTATCCTATAACACAAAATAAGGTTACAATCTGGCTTTAATACTACCATCTCACAGTTCTAAATGCCCTGTGTATAGCCATTGTCTTGATTATTCCAGCGACAGATGTCCTCATACTAAGGAAACCAATTCTGGAAGAACAGATACTCATAAAGCTAACATTGATAAAAAGAATCTTGGCCCCAGCTCCAATGTTCTCATGTATACTGCAGTACATACTTATTTCCAAAGGATTCTTTATCTTCACCTCCGTCATCACATGGCTTCAACAATACGCCTGCAGCCTATTGATGAAAACAAAGATCTTAGCATGGTTCCCACCATTCTGTTTTAAGAAAGAAAGCAAGCTAAAACATTCTGCAATTCTAAGGCAATTTAAAATCAGTTATTTTATTCAAAACCATTTAGTTACTTTAATTTCTGGGGGAAAAAGTTTTGAAGTGCCCCCACTGAAGTATGGTAATGTAGATCAGTTTGAGGCCTGAAGATGTAAACAAAATACTGTACTAACAACAAGGATTTTGAGGACTTGTCCTCAGCTTATGCAGAATAAGCCATCTGCTGGACTCTAAAAGATACTATTAATCCTTGTTACTAAATAAAGCAGCAACATGGATAGAATGTTGCTGGCAGAAAGCACTCATGCCACCAGTAAAGGCACACAGTTAAAATTGGCTTAACTGTTAAACTTTAATAAAAAATATCTGCATTTAATACAATCAGAAAATCGTATTAAAACTGATTATTGACTAATCCTTGTGGACAGCTTGTAGGAAAAAATACTTAATTCACTGCTAAGCAGTAATACTGATTCTTAATATAGTCTCTCTTCTGTATCCCTTGGATCCGAAGATAGCTAAACATACTTCAGATAGTTTAAAGCCATCAGTCCTTTTCCTTTTTAAGTAATGCACATTTATACCTGAATGCACAGAGCAGTATTCAGTTCCCAGAGCCCTGACCCAAATGCTGAAAACATATAATTTTTAATGTGACAGAAAGAGAACACTGTAAGTACTTGGATAATTAACTCTGTGAATTAAATTTAAATTGAAATAAATTATATGGGCATTCTGACTCCACCCATTTTTTGGAATATAGCTCCCAGCACGCCATTCAAAGGCCAAATGTCAATGCCTAGAATTGTTGCATATTTCTGATATTAATGGGGCTAAATTTTCAAACATACAAATGGGCCACTGAAGATCAACTTTTCAGGTTGAAATAGGTACTACTGGCAAACAACTCCTCTCACTCTACTGTTCCTGGATTTGTTTTGGGGCTTCTTCATTTGTTTTTCCTTCTTCAGTGATGCTTTCCAAATCTTATGTGCAAAACCCACATCAGGATTGTGCCATTCCAGGGGTAATCTGGCAGTTTTTCAGAAATCATGCAAGGAATTCTGAACATGATGTTCCAGGGGCATTACAACTCCCAAAACACACTGAACCACTTCCAGTTTGGAGAACTCCAAAAACAAACCAACCAACCCCACCAAACCATCCCTGCAAGGGGAGAATCTTCAGCAGGTTCAGCGTGACCCAGAGGAGGAGCAAAACCTTCTGAAGTTCTCCAGAAACGCCAGTCTCTGGAAATTACAAGTTTTGCATATCCCTGATATTTTTTCTATTTCTATGGCTTCTGCATGTTTACTACTATTCTAAACGTATGCATTCAATTTCTTGGCTATTTAATTTGAAGAATTTATAAATGGCTCAGTAACAACAGTGATTAAATCAACAGAAAGTTTATTTAAGATTATGGGTCTTATGTACATCTTCTGTTATAATGGGAGGAAGAACAAAACTATTGTACTATCAGGTGTACCTCACAACTGAGCGTTATATACATATTAATATTTGCATTTTCCAGGGATATTCCTTGAAAGAGTACATATGGGATTCTCAATGCAACCACTTTTACTAATAGTTTGTATTATCTCATATACTGGTAGCATGCTAACATTATGTAAAACTTAGTAAAAGAAGTTAGCAGATGATTCTAATATACACACAAAGATGACTAATTTGGCTATGCGTTGTTAGAGTAGTACGGTAATTGAAAATCCCCTACAAAACATGCTCATTTGTATGACAAGGACTACATTAATTAGCTTCCTACAAAATTATATCTTCCTTTAGAAGGAAGAGTGGTAAATTTACCATAAACATTATCATTTCCTTTTTAAATTCTGAACTCTATTCTATCCCTGAAGCTTTTCTACAATGCCTCCCCTTTGTTAATTTTTTCTTTAACTTATGTTCACTCAGAAGCAGGGTTCTAAAAAGGCAAGATATTTTGCAATATTCTTGGGAATGTAGCTCTTGAAAAAACATGTCATGGAGGACATTACAAAAATCATATATTTTATTTGCACAAGCACAAACCCTTTTGGAGAAAAAGACCTAGGCTAGCAAGAACAAAATATTGTTCATTCTGTCCTAACCTACCTGTCAGCAACACCTTAATATAAATGTGTCTTCTCCAAGGAATGTACTGTAGTTATAGAAGGCAGCTATTCAATCTCAAGAAAAAACACAGCTGCTCTGAGTTGCTGAGAAATGTTATGTGAGTGCCCAAGCTCCAAAGCACCTTTTCACCTTCAAATCTGAAGTGCTGCAAAGCCCTAATGTATAGCTTGACAGGCACTTAGAATGAAATCCAACTGATATTTGGAACCCACAAGTGTGCACAGGATATAATTGGCAGACATAAAATGGAGGAAAAAAAAGTCTGACAAAATGTGGGGTAGTAACACTTTGGAACTAAACTTGGTGGGAACAACATTCCAGCTTTTTACCAATTAACCTTCTTTTCCCTATAACAATAAAGGTTTAAAAATAAATTTTAGCTAAGTGCCATATAACTACTGGATTATACTCTATTTCCCAGTGGCAAGTAAGCCCTAACATTGGTCTCTGAAGAGAATGGAACAAGATTCTCTGCTAGAACCCTGAACTGTTCTGAAATGATCTGCATACAATTCCCTGCTTTTCCATCATGTTGCCTAGGTTATCTTGAAAATACCTTTTATTTTCAATTCAGCTAACTTCTTACAGGAACAAATGTATCAAAATTTCATGTGTTCCTTAACAGATATTGCACTTGGCTACTTCTCTGAAAGCCTTCAGAGTAGAAGACAAGGAGAGGGATGGCAAAGTAAACAGTTTTAATTGGAAATAATGAGAATATTTTAGTTAAAAGATTTAGAATAACAGATGATAAAAAAAGTCAAAGAACACAGGGCAAATCATTTTTTTCCCCAAGGGCATGGAGAGTACAGTCTCCTGAGCCAAAAGGGGAGGAAAACTTGGAAAAGTGGAAAAACTTGCTAGCATATTGATGGCCTCTTGTGCTAAGAAACTGAGTTTGGTCTGCAATTTTTTTAAGTCCAGAAGTGGGGGACAGGACTAATGTCCTGCATGGAGAAAAGCACTGTTCCTGTCTATTGTTACATGGAATTGACAGAACTGTGCTTGCAGGTGTTCCAAATGAGTGCCTAAAAGCAAAGTTCTTATAGCTTGGACCACCACTTGCCTTTCTCAAACTGTATTTACAGACATATGGAGCATATGCCAGTTCAGCTCTCATTTCAAGAGAAGAGCCAAGCTCTGGTCCTGTGGCCTACATGGCCTGACTAGCAATCTGGATTAGACTCAAGTTCCCCACCTCAGAGTTACAAGGAAGAATTATGCTGGTCTATGACCACAATAAATATTTGATTTACAAGGAAGAATACAGGCATAGTCTAGAGACTCTGTTATATCAACAGAGAATGGGAATATTGTTATACAATATTGTTATTATAGCTAGTTTACAGCAGGATATCCTGTTGGTATATTTACAAAACACACTAATACTACTCCTTCTGGTTATATTTCAGATTGCACTAAAATGTTTTCATACTACAATCACAGGAAACAAAACTCAAAATGCATGAAGCATATTTTATGCTACTCTTACCTGATAATTTTCTTTATCCTCAGACACAGGTTGTACAATTTCACAGTCTAAATTAGTGCAATTCACTGTTTCAGAGCAGTCTCCAAGATTCTCATAATCTTTAGCAATATTCTTTTCAGTATCATCCCTAACAAAAGGAACAAGATGCTAAACAAAGAATTTTACCTGCATATAACTATCTGCTTATGGGTTCACGTTAAGGACTTTAGGTATTTAGGTATTTTGGTGATTATAGTATTCTGGATTAATAAAATCAGAATAGATTTATAAAAGTCTGTACAACTGCATTCAGAAAAGAAAAAAAAAGTAACTCCTAATATCCAATTATTAAATAAAATGTTCATAAATGTTATAAGCACAATTATCCATATACTAATATTTATAAAATTGTACTTTTGAGGAAAATTTACACTGCTCCTATCATATTCAGCCCTGGGTTGTATATACTACAATAATCTCTAGAGTCTGCTATTCCCCAAAAGCAAGGAGTTTAGACCAGCCATAGAAAGAAAAGTAGGCTGTAGTTAGTTCATACAGATTAATCACACTGAAACCATTCTGAAATACCTCGCATCTCTGAAAAAGCACCTGCTGCCTATTCAATCATGTTACTTGAAGAACTGCTTCAGAAAAAGTGGAAGGAAATGAAACATTCCCCTAATGCCACTACCACAAAGAATGGACTCCAAAAGGCCATAAAGATGCTGCAGGTGTCTTTTTACTAATCATTTGGCTTGGGTACAGATGTGGAGCGTCAATTATTTGCAGTTGGCTAACATCACAGAATATACTGTGATCAACAATGATCTACAGATAGTAATCCTAATTTAGTTAGAATGCCCCACAGGTAAATCATCATCTGCCACAGTTGGGCAGCTGCTAAATTGAGTTGAAGAAAAACTCAACAAACACAGCATGAATAAAGTATCAGGACACTATGAAATCTCATATGAAATAAATTGAGGATAATGGAAATGCCACCAAGTACCGTCGTCATCATCATCATCTTCATTCATTATCCATACTATCATCATCATATAGTGCCAAAACAAGACTAATAAACAATACAATTTCATACTTTATCTATAGGATATTAAATATATTTTCTATAGCAATAATTTATTAATCCCCCATTAACATTACTGTTTGGTAAAACTTTTTTAAAATGATTAACTGATTTTTGTAATCAAATAAGCAATATAAAACAAAACCTTACCGGTTGTTAGATCCTTTTTCATCTTCTTCAATATCTGCTTCATGACACACCACTTGGTGCTGTAAGTTCTTGAGATCTTGATCTATGCTGCTCTGCAGATCAAAGAGATGTTGTTCTACAGCTGCTCTAATTGTTCTTTCCAAGATGCTTTAAATAAAATAATTATATGTATTAATAGTCTATTTTCTCAAATGTAATCCTGTTGCTCAATTTTGCTCCTAGCAAGCAGAGGACATTCAACTGAAAAGAAATTAGTTTATTCATTCACTTTTACAATCAAATAGACTCAGAGAGTATGCCTAAGTTATATAAATAAATCATTCTAAGTTTTTAATTAGACTGACTGCCGCCAATGTGTAGTAACAAACTACACAAAGGACACTATAATCAAAACAAATTTCTTATACACTGAGAAAATAAATTCTTTTACAATTCTATATGAAAGCATGAAAACTTTAAAAATTAAGTCCAAGATCCATCCATCCCATATTCTGATTCAACATATTTTTCTATGGATTTTTAATTTTAAAAATTGGAGGAAAAAATTACTGGATTTGACCCTAAAACAAAAGCTGAAACAAGTAAATATACCCTAGTCTGCTAATCCCTCGATATGTACTGCTCCTGCTTTCTACCTGGCTGAATTTCACTTAAGGATGAACTCCAGACTTTGTTTCTATCATATTACTATTGTTTCATGTCCTTTCTAAAGAACACTTTTTGGATTTCTTAATATAGCTTTTAACTGTAGACTCGTGCTTATTTATTACTTCTTTTACATTTGGTTAGCTGTATCTGAAACCTCATTCTGCTAACTGAAATATTATTAATATTAATACAGACACGCAAACAATGATCATTATCCATAAAGCACTCATAATCACTAGATATATTATTGTGGCATCATGAAATCTTCTGACAGCTCACAATTCAATGTGACATAATGAAAATCAAGGCTAGGAGAAATTTTAGAAGTGGAAGCAGACTGAGGGTAATCAGAAAGAATAGCAATCCATCTGAGAATTAGTGGTTTAAATGATGAACTGTATAATACAAAGGTTTAATTTAAAGAGGAACTAACGAGATACAGAGAAAAGAAAGATCAAAAGAAGAAAACCTAGGGTCAAAATAAGCCATGTGATCTTAGACCAACAGGAAATGTGGGTATGTGGCAGATTAGTAAAAAAAAGATGGGGATTACAATTCATATGTATTTTAAATAGCCATTCCAATATAAATTCCACATTTTATCTATACTAAAGTCAGCAAATATTTATCCATCCAAAGCTCAACAGTGCAAAGCTTCCATAACAATATACAATATATTCATGAATATTTTATATACCAATGGGAATTTATACTTACTCTGCAGAAGCTGGCAAGATGCTTAAGGGGGAGAGATGAGCACTGCAATGAAAAAAATAATGTTTTCTCTCTGGAATATATAATTTCTTCATCAAACAGGTTTTCAGGGATAAAACCTAGACAGCAACGTACATATATCTCCTCTGTCTAGTACTTATTCACTTACTAAAATTTATATTCTCAAGATTCCAAACAGCTTAAGTAAGAAAAATAAGCAATAAACACATACATTTCAAAATAACATTAAAACATAATTAAAATGTTTAAAGAGACTAACCACCTATGCCACAGCTCTAAGTTCCAAGTGCCATGTTATTAAGTCATGGTTTTATGGCTTCCCAAAAGGACAAGAGTATGGGAGCTCTATGAGTAACATATTGCATAGAAATGGGGCCAACAGAGAAAAGGCTTGCCAGCAAGATGAACTCCCTTTAATCTCCCATTATGGATAGCCAAAAAAGCAAACAAATGGATCATCAAACAAATAAACCCAGAGTTTTCACTTGAGGTACAAATGATCACACTGAAATTGAGAAATCTATAATGCTGAGTAAAGTGGAAGGAATGAGATGAAGAGGATGACTAGCAGCAAGGTGGATGGACTCACAGCGGTGATGCAAGCTGATTGGAAGACCTGAAGGACCAGGCTGGGGGCAGATCCTCCTAGAGAAAATTTAGCTATATGGATGCTAAAAGTCAACTGACTTGATGACATATAATCAATCAAAAAATAAATATTTATGAATCAAATAAAGGAAATGCCCAAGGAAAATAAACGTAGTCACAGGTCAATAAACAAAAAGTATTCTATGAAGAAAGTGAAAGCTTAATTTGAAATAAACTACTCTGCATTATTAAAATCTTAATTCTTCCTTTGATTCTTAAGGAGATCCCTGGAAAGTGTCAGGAATGCTGTTAGAAGATACCAAACAGATATTCCACTTACTGGGGTATCCTTTTACCTATATCAATCTGTTTCATGAAAATTTACATTGACAAGAATATTTTACAATTTGATGGAAAAAAGGTATTAATTCAGGTGATCTACTCATAAATATCCATCAAACGTGACATGCATATGAGCTATTATTAAATTAAGAAGAGTATAAAAGGGAAAGTCATGCTGCTTCAACTACAGGTAGCCCTCGTTTAGTGACTGCCTTGTTTAGCAACCATTCGCAGTTACAACAGTGATGAAAAAGTAACTTTACGACCTTCGCATTTATGACCTTCACCGGTCTGTAAAGCAAAGGAAAGATGAAGTAAGACCATAAGCACAGTTGTGTTTTCATTTAGTGGCTGCTTTGCTTAACAACCAAGTCGTTAAATAATTGTGGTCACTAAACAAGGACTACTTGTATCTGAAATGAAAACTTGAATCAGTTCTTGTGATGGAATGGAATTATGAAGGCCAGGCTCAGAGAGATAAGCGTTTTCTTAGTTCACCGAAAGAGCATGGGAACTATAAGAGGATGAGGCTGGCACCTCCCTGAGGAATTCACGGTGTTGTGGCTGGCTGGCTTGGGAGCTGGGGTTTCAGTCTGGGAAGATTCTTGCTAGAGGTTGTAGCTAATAAACATAGCTGAACTGATTTTGCATCGTCTCTTGGAGTTCCTTGGGCTAAACCTGACAGTTTTTCATGTTTATGTTTGAGATAATTCTTTTAAGTAAATACAAGTCTTGATACAGTTATTTGTATGAATGCTAAACTACCTTTTGTTATATGCTAACAAGCAAAATGAGTAACAGATTTTTGTTTTAGAAAGAGAAAAATATGTATTGTCGAAGGCTTTCACAGCCGGCATACGATGGCTGGTGTGGGTCTTCCGGGC